TAGCGATGGCTTCAAACCTAATAAACAGCGATGGCCTCCAACCTAATAGCGATGGCGTCCAACCTAATATAGCGATGGCCTCCAACCTAATGGCGCGATGGCCTCCAACCTAATAGCGATGGCTTCCAGCTAGTAGGTATTGGCCCATATTGGCTACGCTCTCAAGCCACATTCACTCTCAAAGAGCTGTCTGTGAAGCTTCTAAACAAAGGATGGACACCTCACCTTCCTCCAACAAAAGCGCTGAACACCAACTGGACACGGTTTGACTCAACCTTGCACTCAGTAAGGCCCTCACACAAACTCGCTCTGCGGCCTTAGTGCCTGCGAAGCTGGGCACAACTGATACATGATGTTCCAAAATCTCCAAAAGAAGAGAATCCAAGGGGTTGGTCCAGCACCGATCCAATCTGCACTGATGTTCACTAAGACCATTTTAAAAAAATCAAGCTTCTACTGCTCTGGCAAGTTGGACAAACTCACCACACACTTCTAACTTTTCTCCCCGAGGCCTAGAATCAAGGATTGCATTGCTGCCTTGGTTGCCGTTGACTGCAACTTCTGGCCGACAGGAGTCAAACGAAATCAGCAAATCAACCAACACGTTCTTCGAATCGATCGAGCCTAGTAACAAGAAGCTATTAGAAACAAGTGCCACGCTAGTAGTAACAGGTGCCTTACTAGTAGTAACAAGAAGCTACTAGCGTCCTACCCCGCACGAAACTTCGGAAAGCCCAAAGACACCGATTCGGTGCGTTCGAAAGCCGCAGGGTGAGTGTCCTGAAAGTCCCTGCCAACTGCCAACTGCCAGAAAGAACTCAGGAGGTTTTGTTCCAGGAAGCTAGTGGAGTTGTTCTTGACCCGTGGTGAGATTCCAGGCACCGCTGCTGGCGGCTTTCGAACAGCTGGAAAGAGAAAGCCAGAAAATCAGGTGCCATGAACAACTGCGGAAGCCGACGTTAGCCCTTATGAAGATTCACAAAAAAAAAACACACAAGGGCGATGTTTGGGACCATAACAGATAACAGGTGGTTTATGGGCACCCGTTGTCACCAGGAAACACCTGTCGAAAGATCCATGTACTATATGTGATCTCAAGCTCGAACGTGATGCAAAACCATGCCCAACCAAAAACACAAGACACAAAAAAAAGGAGATGTCACACCATGTAACACCAAGCAGCAAACATTGAATGCACAAACTGCGTCTTGGAAGTCAAGTGTTTGACAATCGCAAAAGGCCAAAATACAAGCAACAAAAAACAGTATATACATAGCAATACTATACAATATTAATAGAAATAATAAGCAATATATACTGGGTACGAAAAAAGTTTTTCGTAGCGATATTATGGACTATTGATAGACATAATAAGCAATACGTGGTACGAAAAATGCTTTTTCATAGCAAGATTATGCAATATTAATAGAAATGATAAGCAATACTGAGTATCCTGATATCTTGACACACGCAACACGCAAAATCGGTGGTTCCACCTAGGGACTGAGTGAAGTGAAGTGCAGTCAGGTTGGTACTTGTGTTTTCACGTCAACCAACTTCAACACAAGAAAGAAAGATCAAACACTCGATGGACATCTGTGGACATGAACTCTGGAGCGGCTTCTTCGCGAGTGTTGGGACTCAAAGTCCAAGGTACCAGCAAGCCTTCCATGTGACGACCGTCTCCGGACAAAGCGACGTGCACATCACGTGCCTGAACAGCTTGTGCCCAAGCGAGGCTGTGAGACAAGCATAATCCCGTCTTCAAAACGAGAATCTGAGAGTCTCGAGAGGCACTGGGACTAATTTAAGTACTGTCATTGTGGGGTAGTCCAGACCTATATGACCTATTCCATGCCCAGAACCACAACAATGCTGATTCACATTCAACCGTTGAATATCCTAGAATTGTTGAATCAGCTTTAACAGTTAGTTAAAGACCTGCAGTAGACTATACGTCATTTACTTTGGAAGCCATTCTACCCTGGTACTACCACCATGTTGCCCAATTCCATCCAGTAGAACTACGCATGTATGTCCATAACTTGAAGCCCAACTGCCAACCCCCACCAGCTGTTGCTTTCCGTACTACGATCGTTGGCACAAACCCCATGGGGGTCCATATACGTAAACCTCCCTGTGGGGCTTGTGCCATCTACTCTCAAACCACTAAGTCACTATGAATTTGACACTCCTTTTTGGAAACGCACACACTCAACGCATCGCCAGCATCAGCACCTCACATGCTCGCGAGATCGCTTGGATGTTGCCATCCTGGAGGTTTTTGGGCGGTGTGCTCAGTGACTCAGGAGCCAAACAAGGATAACTTGCTATGACTTGAGGTGTTGATTTCGTTGCTAACCATCATGTTTGAAGCCGACACTGTGAAATGAGCTGTGGACATGTGAAAAAAACAGACTCCCAGCGGATCAAATTGGCCCCAGCAAATCCCAAATCCTGGTTTTGCCAGGATGATCTCCTTACCCCCCCCTCCCATCCAAGAGTGATCCTGCGGATCCCTCTGTTTACTTGGCAGAAAACACCGGACCGGTCCTAGAGGTCCCCGAAACTCGGACGAAAAGGCGATTCGACGAAGGAAGAGCATCAACAGTTGTAGTTCTTTGAAATGGACAGTCTACAAAGAAGAAGCTATTAGAAACAAGTGCATCGCTTCTAGTAACAAGTGCCTTACTAGTAGTAACAAGAAGCTAGTAGAAACAACTACAGAAAACCCTCCAGGTCTTTGAGATTCCTTGACTAGGCGCACAGAAGAAGGATTGACCTTTCCTGGGCACCACCCGCGCCTTTGGCTTTGCCACATCGCTCGACCTCAAAGCTATCACTTTGGGGGACCAAAAGGCCATGAGTCGATCAGTGTCGAAGAAATCCCGCTGCTTCTTCTGTCCAAAAAGCAACGTTCAACTGGCCTGGATCGACCGGCACGGCGGCAGTGGAGTCTCAAACTGACCAACCCGTCCTCCCAACCGAAAGCTCAGTGTCAGGCGACGGGTGCTGAAAACCACCAGGCTGATGTAGGCCAGCTGCCTTAGATTGAACAAATCTTGATGTAAAGACTTTGGGTTTTTCCTGGAGGGTCCCCCACTTGAGCCACACTCTGGCCATCTCCCTCCCTCCCGGTCTCTCTCTCTCTCTCTTTTGCTTGAGGAAAACCAACTGATAGTCCACAGCAGTTGCTTCTCCGAGCCCCCAAATAAAGCCCCTAAGCCTTGCACAGGTCTCAAGACAGGAGACATATACCTCATTTGATCAGCTTGGAAGGCATAGTTTTCCAGTTTTGACTCCTTCAAAAACGTCCGAGACGGCGACTGTGGCGGGGTCCGAAGCTGTTCGGAGGGCAACTTCACCCTTTCGTTCGCCTGCCAGACACAGAGCTTGGCAGAACCAACCGAAAGTTCAGAATCTTAAATCTGAAGAACCAGATGAAAGCATATGAAAACCATTGAAGCTGCTACACCACTCAATTTCAGTTAACATCGTTCACGTCTATTGTGCTTCGCCCCCGCCTCCACCCGCCGAAGGACGCCCCAGAAGGGCCACTCAGACATCATCTGTTCGAAGACCGTCACATTGCGCCCCACCTCAGAGGTGGAACCGGAGGAGGCCAGGGATTTGTTAAAAAAGGAAAACAGGAGAAGAAGCCGTGGGTAGAGACCCGAGAAAGGTGAGCCTTTTTGGAGTTCCACTTCTCTCCCCCACTTCGAACGTCCTGGGCCCTGGGGCAGCACATCGATCGAGTTGCGCCTCGCCCAACGCCATGAAATCCTTCGCGGCCTGGTTCCGGACACGGCGACAACCACGTGCCCTTCGTGTGGCGTTCCCATGGGACTGAATGGCGGGTGCAGGTGTTGCCCCGAGTCGAGGAAGGGGAGACCCAAAGGCGAAGGAATTCGGACGGTGCTCCGAATCGAACCTCTCGCACCTCAGAACCTCGGTAGGTGAGTGGAGTGAGTCCCATGTCGGCTTCACTGAAGCTGACACACTGAGACACACTGAGCCCTTCGGTGAAGCTGAAGCTCAAGAACACCGTGTTGCACCGTGGGTCACTCAGTGTCTGAAGACTTGACGGTGTTATCTTTTGACAGTGTTTCTGTGAAATACAGGTGGGTATGCTGTCTAGCCACACACCAAAAACTATGGGTCGCATGGCAAGTACCTGCCATCTGGTATCTTCCTGGAGGTGATGGAACTCAAATGAACAGACTCCATGCTTACAGTACGGGACCTACTGTTAATGGAAGAAATCCTGCACCACTGTTGAAGATTATCTATATCTCATACCCTCACGCTCCACTTGTTTCCTTTCTTTCTCCGGCATCAAAACCTGCAAAGGTCCCTTTGACGAAAATCCTGCCCTACCTGCCTGCACGACGGAACATTGAATAGGGGTGCGGGGCTGCTGGTCTGTGAGGTGTGGGTGAGTTATGTATCAAAGCCGTGCAGGATTTCCTCCCTCAACCGTATGCTACTGGGTCCGTCAACAAAGTCTGCAACATAGAAATATGTCAGGTTTCATCAAAGGATAGTGACATTGAACCAGAAAAATAGAAAATAATAGAAGTATAGACATGTATAGACCTACCATGTCTGCACCAAATAAGCCCTCAAAGGGCAATTGCCAGGCCTGCGTCAGCACGTTGGAATCGACCAAAAGCAAACGCTCCTTGGGCGTGATACATGTGGAATCTGTTTTTGCGTTTTTGCTTTCTGAATCACTGTCGCAGGATGATAAAAATAAACTATCAGGGGGACTGTGCCTTGCATCTTTCTTGCGTGTTCAGAGTTCTAGTGCGAGAGGATCTCTTGACTCCTAACCTGAGATGTTGTCTCAGTGTACAGTACATGCTCAGAGTTGAGATAAGCAAGTACAAAATAGAGACCAATGTTTTGGATATATAGTTTTGTATATATATGTGTATATATAAACATATAATGCTTTATGTAATCCTGCATGTTTGATCTCCCAGAATGGAGAACGTCAGATTAACGGACCGGCGAACGGCAAACGCGACCCGAGGACTCTGTCCCGACCATCTCCAAGTCAGGTGCTTTTTGAGGGAACCGGATGACTCGAGAGGTGGGTGTGAATCAGTTCGACACATATATAGCAAGAACAAAATTCCGTACATGTGGAGGCTGGTCTGGTCTCCCATGCGGACCCACATGCGGGCAAGACTGGGAATCGAAACCGAACAACACTTCTAAACCCAACGGGGGCAACCGTTGCGGACTCCCTCAGTTTCCCTTGAAGTGAAAGTTAAACCTCCTCTTGGATGTGTAGTTTGTTGGGAAACCAAACCAAAACATGGTGTTTTCCTGGCTGGATATAGGCCTTCCCCAGCGGGCCCGCCCGCAAAACCCGATACGACCCCAGGCACCGCGAGCACCAGAAAGGCGGTGGCCTTGCCGAAGGAGCAGCCCGGCCACGTCTTGGACAAGAACCTGCTTCGGCTTCGACTGTTCGTTTGAGAACGTGTTTCGATGTTTAGGTTTCAGACTTTTGTCCCATGGGGTGGGTTCCACATGGTTCCACTCCCAGGTACTAAGATCAAACAAAAATCAACGCAACCAGGGAGACATGGAGAAAATCGAAGCTTCAGACTCGGTTGGAGTCCAGGGATGTTTCAGGTCCATGGTGACGACAGCTCGACCACCAAGAACCCTCAAGAACCCGTTCGAAAGCATGCTGTTTGGAACTCAGCCTTCCGACCCGTTCAATGCTCGAGACAAGGGAGAGAACACGTTCGGCCAGACAGCCGCCGCGTGGGGGAGAAGATGTACATGGGAACACAAGATGACCACATACATTGAATTTATACACAATTGTGGCCGCAATTGGCGGTATCTCGCAAATGGTGTAATGTAAATACTCGTGGGTGAATCACTGTGCATTTGGGTACAGTTCAATGTCAATTGAATATCATTACAGCGTTTCGCGAAAGAGAGTTTCTGGTACAGCTTCCATAATGATGGTGGTGGGTGGTTCAAAAGGCAAATCAAGCGGTTCAGTTCATTAGCATGTAAAGGTGCATGTAATATATATATATATGTTTTAGTTTGTCAACTAAGGCTTCCAATGTGTGCATGTTGGCTCCTGAGTTAGGCGAAATTGAGCGAGAAGAGATTCGGGATATATGTTTGATGCTGAAACCTATAATGGCCAAGGTAACTTGGAATCAAGCGCTACTTACAGCGTGTTTGAAGCGACACCACAAGCACTTGAAGTGTTTCCGCTTGTCAGCGAAAGCCTCGATGTGCTGGTGGCGACAAAAGGACCTGAATTTAAATTGATGTCTGTGTGTTGGGTCCTTTGTATTCCTAACCCATCAAGGACAGAAACATGAGCACCGCCATCTCCTCCGAACAGAACTACGTGGCAATCTATGTCCATACCAGAACACCCCGAGGGATGCCAAGTGGTGGTTAGGTGTCCATTGACTGCTGGGGGGGTTGCTAGGTATAAGATGGCATAAGATGGTATAAGATGGTATAAGGTATACGGTATACGGTATACACCATATATACACGTGTCTACACTATTCTACACTCACGCGTCTACTCTGTTCCGTTCCCAGAAAAATGTCCACCGAACGGGGGGATCGACGAAGGGTCTTACGACGGTTTGGACCACGGTTTGGTCTCCCGTTTGGAGCTTTCAGGATCGGCCCTTTGAAAAAGAGTGAAACATGATGAAAGCTCTGGGGAGATCAGATGAGATCAAATGAGATCAGTGTTCATGTGTTGTCATGATTGTCATCGCGTTCCATCTCATGCGTCTTTTTGGTTTGTGCATGTTCCCTCCCACCTGATGGCTGTGTAGGAGGGCAGAGGAGCTCCAGTCGCCAACTGCTTCTCCAAGATCTCTTGAAACCTCCCATCCACGCCGCCATCGGCGTCCCATCGCGCACCGTCCGAGGGGACTGCGGGGACGCTCTGATTCCAGAAGAGTTCCCAGGCCTCGGAGGTGTCTCGCACTTGTGCTCCAACGATCTCCAACAAGCCAAAGATGGGCCAACGGCTGTGGATGGTATCCCAGTAAGACAAAGGGATCTGATCCCAGAGCGGAACGCTCCCAAACAACGTGTGCATCAGTGCCTTGAGCCTCTTTTCGGGGCTCATGAAGATCATCGCCAGATAGCCCAAGCAGCACAAGCCAATGTAGCAGTCAGTCTGTGTTCGGCCCAGTGCCAGCAGTGAACCCAACCAAGGGTGTGGCTCGGACGGATTCACCAGGAACTCAAAGAGTCGCTTCCGCACCTCGCTCCAATCCACGCCATCCTCGTAGCTGTCGCAGTTCAGATCCAATTCGCTCGCATGCTTCTCCGCCACGACGGCCGGAGAAGGTGTGGAGCCGGCCACGACCGCCCAACACGTGGCCCAGGTGGCCCAGGTGGCCAAGTGCGCGTTGCTGGCATGGAGGCTTCTCATCGTTCGCTCTTCTCGCAGATTCGCTCTTCTCACAGGAACCCCTTAGGAACCCTTAAGTCATCAATTTTAGAGCACCTTCCATTGCAAAAACTGTGCCCTTGCAAAGGAAGCCGTTTTCGACCCGTGCGCTTGAGCCACGTGGGTCGGAAAAAAAAACATGCAGTCCACGAACCATCTTTAGGTCCACGAACAATCGTGGTGCAGCCCATCCTAAGTGTTGGTCCGAGAACAGTTGCATGATCATGAACCAGAGAGAGAGAGAGAGAGATTGACCCGAGAACAACGACCCGGCCACACAAAGTTGCATACGTCGCATCATGTCGCATCCACTTTTTCCTGCAAACGCAGCACATTCCAGGCGGATCTGACCAACAGGTGTTGATCCTTGGAGTATGTATCTAAAATAAGCTGCCTGTCTAACTTGCAAAAAAACAATATGCATTGTTCCTGAAGTTGTTTGAGTGCCCATGCAAACCGTCAAGACCTCAGATCCGCCACTGCTAAGTGCTGACAAGCCTTCGACTAGTCTGCACCAGGCTCATTGTGCAACATACAAGGGGTCCCCAGCGTAACCGCAGAACATGTGTCGTACACGTTTTGGCACAAACCACTCTTACGGTTCCTAATTATGGTTCCTCAACCCCCATTGTAGCTGTCACAAGTTCCCGCAGGCGATTCATGAAAACACCAGCTCCAAACATTGACACCTTAAGGAATACGGCCTCAAACATTGGCTCCCTCAGACACTTGATAAAACCAGCGCTCGCCACCAGGACGTTGGAGTTCAAGCTCACAGTTTCGCAAGCTGTAACAACTCCAGTTGTAAATTGAGCAATAACATGGACCTGGCAGTTTTGCAGTCCTTAGGGTCAGCAGCTACTTCTGCAGCTGCATCTGAAGCTACCGCAGAGCAAACAACGTCTGCACCTCTTGGAACGCTGAACGTTGCTGGGAATCGATGGCTCGCTCAACCTCACCAAGACAAATCAAAGTCATGAAGAACAAGCAGAGATTACTGGATGGATGATCTCTTCCAATATCTTCTGATGAATTCTTATACAAACCTAGTACGTCTTGTGATACGACCGCATCAGTTGTACTGAGTGCCCACGCGTGCCGAAAGAGAACCCTTGTTGGCACGAACCATCGCAACAGCATCCAGCTCATCCAGTGCCTCTTCAGATGGCGACGGCTTAGTGGTCCAAGCTTCTACTCCAAAACGTTTTTGTGCTGAAATGTCCACCATGTCTGTGATAGATAGACGGCCTCAACTTGGTCATCTCAGACATCTCCATTGCTTTGGGGCCATCCAAGAATCCTTCCAAACCAGTTTGAATTAATGTCATAAGCCACGACTGAATGGGCAGATCAACTGACAGAGGTGCACGTCCGGAGGAATCCACTGGCAAGTTACGTTCCACGGAGTGTAGAACACCCCGTAGTTCTGCTCTCAAAACCCAAGATGCGGTGGTTTGCCCCACCAAAAAAAGGAACACGCGCCGAACTCCGCCCGTTGGCCTCCTCGCCGTCCTTGGCCAAAAGTTACAGCGACCAGGCATGCGAACAGATTAAAAAGCGAAGATCGGTTCTGTTTGGGCTGCAAAACGGCTTAAAGTCTCAAAACTATTCAAAACTAAGGACTCACCCTGAGCTCTGCACCCCTGGAATCCCCTAGATCACTGCCCAATGTCTGCCTCCTTGAGGGTGGACTCTCTTTGGATCTCTTTGGTTACGCTCTGCTCGGCGGTTCCGCGACGGTCGCTGAGAAGCCGCACCAAGAGGAGTTTACCCTCCTCAGTGACCTTCAAACGATCGGCCTCAGATCGGTCAGCCTTCGGGCCTTCGGCTCCGATGCGAAAGACATGGAGAGTGTATATCGCTAGTAGTAACAAGTGCATCGCTAGTAGTAACAAGTGCCTTACTAGTAGTAACAAGAAGCTATTAGAAACAAGAAGCGACTAGTAACAAGTGAAAATCCAAACATCCAACGGAAAAAGATCCAAACATCTCGTCATCGACGGTCATCGGCTTGGCGGGACGACGACCCTCGGAGGTCCAAGACGATTGCAAAATGTTTGGTCGTAGTAGTAGGTGACCTGCAGTTTCCAAACATATCCCCAAATAGTCCTTGGACTTCATCCGGGTTGACGGTGTTTGGGATGCTCCATGACTTCTGATGACCCAACAAGTGCGACAGCAACCGAGCTGGCGATCAGCCGCTGGCGATCCCGGCGATGCGACGATAGTCGCCGTTCGTCTCACGGTAGAGCTGCCGGTGGAGTTTCTCCTGCACAACCAGCTGCCACACCATGAGTGAGTTTAGAAGGGGCAGGATCCAACTACTGTTGGTAGAAGAGTGGACTTGACATAGTGTCAATTCTCAGTTTGGCCTTCATTTTTTACCATTTATCTGCAGTCAGCACTTTACGGGGGATCCAGGGTCCTTGATGACAAGCTCCAGAGTCGTCGAGGAGGAGTTGTCCTTGGCGTTCACGGATCACATGGGTCACGCAAAGACTTTTGTGTTTGGAGTACAAACCTGGCTGACCCTGAAACAGGGGTTTGTGTTTGTGTTTGGAAACAGGAGCTGGTCGAAACTTGGAGCACAGCATTTCCTGTTTCCAAACCTGGCCGACTCCGCTTCGACGGTCGAACTCGCAGTCGGACACTGAGATTGTCACGTAGGCGGAGACAAACAAATTTCTGCCTTGGGTGGTCAGCATCTCGATTCATGTTCTGCCAGCTTCACCGATATAAAATTGGGAGGCGGCTAGTATCTGCAAGCTAGTTGGTGTCATGATGTGTCATGTCAAATCACGCAGAACACACACACACACACCGAATCACACAAACATACACCAAAGCCAACAGCAGCCAATGCGCCATCCGTCGACATATCCACCAAGTAGTAGGTGTCGCTGAGTTTCATTCCTTCCTGACCGATCGGCGCATTGAGCCGACGAAGCCAGTGAGAGCAGTCGGGCAAAAAAAGGTGTAGAGCGCTGCAAAAAAGGGGCAGAAGGCGGGGCATGTCCCTTCCCACGCCAGCACGAAGCCAAAGGATGGGCCAAGTGTTCTTCGATATCTACCTTGAAGTGCCATCAGAACAAGGAAACGCCACAGTAACGCTGCCAACAAGTATGAAGCCAGCTGGCATGGTGCGGCCAACAGGGTCGTGCATGTGTCTTTCCACCACCCAGGACCCGAATTTGGATATGTTCCGGTGCCTTCAAAACATACTTCTGGTTTGCTCCTTCTGCCAGGTCCTGCGCAGTTCAAGGATTGCAACATCTGTGCGTGTTTAAAGTTAGTGTAGTCTCAAATCACATGATAGCGTGCCACATCCCTTGTTTTCAGTTCAGAGGTCTTAGCGAAATAACCCAAACATATGGTTGCAAATATGCTGCATCACCTTGTTCAGTATATTGCAGCGTTATAATGTAGCTTGTAGAAGCTTATGAGTCAAATGGGCATCCTCCACAAAAAGGAGCACTTCTCACCTTCTCAAGCTCGTCTTGCGTCCCGAGTTCGGGTCCAAGATTGCTTTTCCCAAAGACACTCTTCTCAAAAACTGGAAATGTAGACCCCGCAAACCCAGCAATTCCGAAACCAAATAGACTGACTAACGGTCCGCAGATCGATTCTCATGTTGACCCGGCCCGCGTTTCGAGATCACTGGCAAACCGGTCCGTGAAACACCTGGATTCACTCGCTTTTGGTTCTGCCTGTGAAACACCTGGAAATCGTAAAAATCGACACTTGCGGAGAGTAGCCAACCGTGACCAACCGTTTTGGGTGCCTTCACAGTTGATCGTTCCTTCTCCTGTCTCCCGTACTGCCGTACTGCCGTACTCTGAGATGCCAAAAGGTGCAGGGTGAATTTCAGCAAGAGTGGCCACACAATACCAGATAGTTTTAAACAAGGGTCAACTCCCAAAGGACCAAAAACATACAAGCTCTTAGACTCTATGTTCGCTATTAGGTTGGAGGCCATCGCTATTAGGTTGGAGGTCATTCCTGCTAGTATTAGTATTAGTAACTCAAAAGAATACTTTTTTAACCTACAGTCTCTTAGACTCTCGGTTCTTTCAACCTCGGTGTAGGGCCATTCGACTCATTTGCTTCCTCGTCTGCTCCCTCTGTCGCCTCGACCTTTCTTTCCGAACACATTCCTCCCCACGACTGAAAAAGCCCCCACCTTGGGAGGAGCTCTGCTGGTGGACGGAGCCGAACGCGATGTCATGGCCCCTTCCTCCTCCTGTCGCCCGGCACCCGGCGGACGACTCTCTGTGATGGTGATGAGTCATGGCACCCAAAAAGCAGCTTGTTAAAGTTATGAGAAAAAGACATCGACCTACGAAGGACCTATTATTCACTTTGCACCGTCCGTGGTTTTGAACCCGTCCCCGCAAAGAAAAGGACTCCTCGCCCATGTTCACCAGCTCGCTGGAGACGAAGTCGCGTCCGCGCCTGGGAGTCCTGCGCGTCCCGGAGGGCTCTGGGCGGGTCGGCGGGCCGTGGGAGGGGTCTGCAGGAGGTGACCAGCTTACGGTGGTGATAGAACCTGTCAACTTACGGTGCAAAGACCTTCGTAGATGGCAAATGACTAGGCAAATGAAACACTGGGGGATGATGATACTAAACGTTGATGAAGGCAGGAAACCATAAGTTTGTCCAAGACACAACACGCTTATTATAGGACTTACAATAGGGCTTCCCGGGAAACCCACAAATGGAAATACTCCAATTGGCTAGGAGAACTACCTAAAGAACTTGCACAGCTGCAGCAGTTGTATGCACAAGAAGTCACATTGCACAACAGTTGCACCAGGCACATTGCAACAGTCGTTCAGGTCATCCAAGTCAGACATACCCAGCAAGCAGCGTCATCCTACCAAATGATAAAGAATGCTAGCACTCGTTCATCACTGGGGCCACCACTGGTTTGCCATGGTTTTCTCATCCAATATCAAATAGATCCATCTGACAGTGTCTGACATCTGCTATGCTCGCCTGCTAGCTAACTACTTTGCCTTCGCAAAGCCCGACGCCGAAGTTCAGTTCGCACCCGGATTTCTGTAGTTCTTGAACTTGGGGAGACAAACTTCGACAGCGGTTCTCCGCCCCAAAAGTCTTCATGACCCTACCAACACCTCCAGCACCCGCGACGATCCGCCAACGTCCTCAGAACCACGGGGAACTCGCAGCGATTCTTCAGGTAAGTCCTAAGCGTCGCGAAGGAGTCCCAGCGTCGCCCTCTGGAACGGCAATGGACGAGGGAGAGGGAATTGGTCCAAGAGCTTTCCGGAACTCCACCAGCTTTTGAGAAACTCGACAAAAAACACCCATGGATCAAGTGTCACAGGGTCCTGCTTTGAGCATACGGTGGGCCCTGTTTCAATTGAAGTGCAAGCTCGATTCGCTCAGCCACTTTGTGTTCTACATTTCCCTTCGGTTTGTTTCGTTTTCAACACAGTCATAAGTCATAGGTAAGCACATGAAACCGCGCATTCTGTGTAAAGGGTTCCACACCGAATGGAGCACCGAATGGCTGAAACATCTGAAAAGGAGCACCGAGTCTCGCATTCCGTCGATGCTGATCTTCCCACTCGACATGGTTGTAGACTGGTTGAGCCTGGTTTGCCAGAAAACGGAGTGAGAAAACAGGCATCTTGTAACTAGTAAAGCTTAAGCAAGCGTCCGTCTCCATCTCACAAATCCATACAAATCCAACAATATCAACAAAACCTAGCAAACAAAGTACAAAGCTACCATGTTTGGCAGTTTAGCATACCAAGAACAGAATAACAGCCTACAATCTCCACACAAACCGAAAACAACTCAAACCAATCCAAATCCCATGTGTTTTCGATTTGGCTGCTAAGTCTTCCTTGAAAGGATTGTTACTGTTAGTTCAACTGCTCAGTCTTCCTGTAGCCTTGTTGAGGACTAACTTCTGTTTGGGGGGATGATCAGGATTGCTTGGCGGCCTCTCGGACAGCCAAGCCCTTGGGTTTGGAGTGATGCCAGTCGAAGACGCAACCATCTCTTCACTTTCTTGATGTAGATATGAGAAATCAACGTTCTCACCATAGTCACGAATCTGCCAGTTGCTTTGTCTAAACAAAAACACGATGAGTATGTGAAAAGAGCCAAAAGCTTCTTTAGTTTGGTGTTCAAGCCGTCCAACGGTGTGTTTGGGTTCCCCAGGGTTTCTAGGTCCATATTGCTTTTGTCTTTAGAACCACTGGTTACCTGCCAAAAGTGTCAACTGGCTCCACTGGGGAATTGTCAGAGATGGTCAATCTAGTGAGGAATCTTGGGGAATCCCCTCCTCATCCTGTGGCAAGCGTTCATCATCGTTCATCTATTCCCTAGACCCGCGATCCGACCCAACCCGAGAGACCCGAACGCCTGCCGTTCGCCGTTCGGACGGGCCGGACCGCCGACCAAACGCCGAGCCGGGCCTGCTGGATCCGCTTGAGGATCGATTGATTTTCTCGAGTGATGCGCAGCAGCTCCTTCCTTCTGGCATCCTTGTTCAAGCTGCTGGGTCCTGGCGTCGGCGTCGGCGAAAGAAAGCAAAAGGAAGGGGAGACACGCCACGTGCAACAGGAGATCGTGCTGCCTGCACCAGGAGCCATGCGCCTTCAGACTCGGTCGACCAAACAGAATGGCTGTCCCCATGTACAGCTCCGAGCTGGTGAGCTAAAAGCCCGAGTGAACTAAACAATGCTTTACTTATCTTGATTTCAAGTGTACCTCATGCGTGGTCTCATCTTGCTTGTGGCTGTCCCTCTTCTCAGCTCTTGGCTTCACACACTTCCAAAAATTGGCCAAATGGTGTTGAAACGTTTTGACATGTTTTCACCCATCCTCCTGGTTGCCCGATTCAAAACCACCTACGCGACCCGGCGACCAGCGGGTTTGCTCTTGCCTGGTTTCCGCTCACTTGGAGGGAAGGTCGTCTGCTGCTTCATGATCTCGGTCCTCAACAAGGCCCGATGGTTTGATGGTGCCTCCAAATAGCGGACCTGTTTCACGTTCAAGGAAGAGTTCTCCACTGCTTGATGTGGACAGTTCGTGTGTGTGTGTGTGCTATGCCTGACCTGAAAGCAACGGTAAACAATTGGCTTTGGTCATTTGAGAAGATTGATCCAAGACACTTGTTGTGTATCTATAGAGACCATGGGCTACCAGTAGGCGTGTCCTTTCTAACCGGCTCGGGCCTTGTTCAGGCTCCGCTATTTGGATGTATATAAAACACCCTCCTCTCACCCTGTTCGCTGCCCCATCACCAAACTAAACTAAACGTTTTTCGCCCAAAAAAAGAGGACCTCGTCCCAGTCCGGTGTCATGATCGTGGGGACGAATGTCACCCTCGACTGGCGCGGCCAAAACCACTCGTTGGTCCCAAAACCACCCGACCGACCGTTGATTCATCAAACGCCATGTAACACCTGTTAGAAGACACCGGCCAGTGGGAGAAGTTCGCAGCGGCCATGGGACTGGACCAAACCGCAAAAGGGCTCGCAGTGGAATGGACTGGGTGGTGAGTCACCCGTCACGGTGGACAGGTCTTCGGAGTCTTCCATGCAAGATCGGTTTGCTTCAAAGCTCGGAAACATGTGCGTGATCCTTCGGTTTGCTTCAGGATGAACCTTCTGAAGTGAGGAGAGCCCAAAGATCTCCGATGGACATCGTGATCTAAGATGTACACCAACATACACCAACAAGTGATAAAGGATGATGGAGGGATGAAGATGTTCAACCTCTCAATGCCCTTGGGTCGGCATCTTCGAGACATGTAGTTTATATACTGTAGTAATATAATCATATTAGATATAATATAATCTATTTTGGGTCTATCCTATTGCCAGTAACAGCGGATGATGATGGTTACTAAAGGCCATATTCAAAAATAAATAGTGATAGTTGATAATTGTTTACTGACTGTTACAGGTAATAGGACAGACCCCAAATCTATGAATCTATTTGTAGTTTACCATGGCTGCACTCTCGAAGAAGAAGAACAAGAAGAGCCCTTGAGAACGAATAAATCGCAATACGGGATCTGTTCACGAAGTGAGGGGAAAAAGGGTTCCTGTTTAAGAGGAGTGTTCCCGTAGGCCTCGCCATTCACTTCCATGTTTGAAGGGTATCTGTATCAAAAACATCAAAAAGGACGTCAGGTTCACCACTGGTAGAGGCACCTCCCTTTCGGATCCTTTAAGGGACCCCCTTGGCCTGACCAAATCACCTGTCAGGCCGCAACTGGGCCATCCCGGCATTTTCTTCAGCAGGATGCGGTTATCCCGGTCAATCTCCGTGTAGCGGTCCTGAATGGGAAAACGGGACCGCCCAACGGAGATGGAGTCCACGCTCTTTGCCAGCTCTCTCTGATTGAGCAGAGCAGTCCTCCATCATTTGTTCCTTCTTCAAGTTCACCTTCACGTGCTCCAAGGTCGCCACCTCGGGGACACGAGACACGGCCGCGAGGCACGGCTCGGCGCTTCGGCTCCGGGGCCCCGGACCGTCGGCATGCCGGTGTCCACGGTCGATTTCCTGAGAACGATCGGGGGATCCACCGGTCACCGTAGTCGGTCATTGGGTCAGGTGACCTGTCGGGTCAGGTGACCTGTCGGAGCGAGGTTCAGGTGACCAGTCCGCTTCCATCTTGGAGAATGTTGGGGGTAGAGAGCATCATTCTGACTGCCTTTCATGATTGACAGTTACGGCTGGAAGTGATTGACGCAGCCAATCGCATCAGTCGGAGCCGCAGCCTCAGAAGACTTACGAGAAAAAGAATCCATATGCATACTGCCGTTCTCTAGCTGCAAACGCACTGCATACCCTAAAAGATTCGTTGCTTGGGTTTTGGGGTTCAAATGGGTTCATGTTGTTCATGCTTTCTGCCTTTGGAGGTTTAGAGAGAAAAAACTTGATATGATATACCCTTTGTGGTCAATTTCAAATTCAATTGCTGTGCCCGACGAAAGGAGTTGCGTTCACAGATCCAGAAGTTTAGTTCAGGTCTCATTTCCTTCGAGGAGTTTTCTGTCTGGATGTCTAAGACAGCCCCCAGGTTCCCAGCAAGCAACAGTGTTCAAAAACCATCCAAAACAGTTGTGTTAGGTCCAAGAGAAGCTGCAGCCAAGATGCATATTTCTCACCCTTTCTCGATGCATTTGTTGCCTCAGCCGGAGTACCCAAGAGGGGAAGAGGGGGCTTGACCACCCAGCCTTCCGGTGTGGCCGGAGTACCCAAGCGGTGGGGTCAGAACCTGCACCGGTTCTATCACTTCGAGGGCTTTGCTCTTTGGCTGCTCAAATCTCACAGATCATCTCACACAAGTCCAACCACATGCCTCTTCTATCTGCTCTGGCATGTCTACCACAGTCTGTTCCACCCATCAAAATGTTCACCGATCCTCCCCAACTGCCTTTTTCACCTTTGTCATCTCAAACCAAAATCCAAGGGCTGAGGCTCCAAGAAAAGCAGCTGAGATCAGCACTCTCTGGCCTTGATTCTCTTGGTGCAGATTTTGCTGCCACAAGGGATCGCCTTGTCCTGCGGAAGGCTCCGTGGTCTGGGACGGTTTTTGTTTCGTTGAGGCGGTCTGGATGGGTCTGGAGAGGTCTGGCAGTCGGAGCACGTGGTGAAGAAGAAGCTACTTTGTTCATCCTTGTTCCATCTAAGGGTGTGTCTCCCAAGAGACTCAAGAGAGTCATGCATTCATGTACATACCGGGGCGTTGTGCCAACTCCTTACCCAAACTAAGGAAGAGAAGGCTACGGCCGAAACCTGGAAATGAAGGCCAAATATCACGCCCTACAAACGCCACTGTTCCAAACTGCGGTGTCAAAACGAAGAAAACATTCTTAAAATTCCTTAAATATCATTAAATCCCTAAATATTGACAAGTCTAGGCAAGGTCATGTTCCGGATGATGAATGGTGATTATCTGATTGACAAGTGGATTGCTTTCTTACAGTCTGATGGATGGCAGTCTTTCTAAGCTGTGAGTCAAACACATGATATCTTTGATATCTTGATATCTTCGCAACCTCAGAGTGCGAAGGACAGAAGGGCCGACGAGCAACCGGTGAAACAGAGCTGTCAACAGCTGCTCAAGCAGCCTGGCCCAGGCCCAGCACAAGTCGATTCGCGGAGCGGCACCCGTTTTTGCCCATGTTCCATCGCAGGCGGTGCCGTGAGCATGAGTCTATGTCTGACTGCGAACACAACTGTCACTTGATCCGAAGGCTGATCGCTTGGCGTCACCCGATGCACCGTGTGCTTCCGGTCCGCGCAAATCGGGTGAAAAGAGCTCGCTCCGCGTGGGGCACAGTGCAGCACACTCGCTTGGCGTCGTGTCTTTCCGAAAGAGATGTACTCCAATGAACAATAAGATGGGAAAGATAATGAAAAAAATGATCAAGGCACATGCAGTCGCAGCAGTTCTGGCAGCTTCCGCTGCCCTGTCCGCAGCATCTGCTGCCCTGTCCGCACTGTCTTTGATGCCCAAGGCTTGCTTCGAAAAGCCACCCAATAAACTCTCCAAGGAATTGGTGGCCAGATTCTTCAACATGTTCGGGATTTGCTCTTCCGATGCGTGCGAGATGAGGGATGCTTTTTCCCTCATTCACGGTCGGTGCTCACCAATGGGCCAAAACAAGAAACCACTTCGCAGAATCCAAATGTCTTGAAAGCAAAAAACAGCTGCAGAAGCCATGGAAGCACAAAAGAACATTGAACAACAACTTGCAGTTGTCAGTTGTCCTCTTTATTTTGCAGGTGAACACTGGGTAGGAGACTGCTACAATCCAGATCCTGTACCAAACATTCTCTGGGAATCCGCACTGATGGCTTCGCGACGAGGAGGACGAACATGGTGGGGGGGCAAGAGCCATCCCACGAAGTCAGCAAACGCAAACGCAAACAAAAGTGACGAACTGAATCTAAACAAATATAACAAATGTCCACCCAAGATAGGGAGCCAATTGTTGATCAAACGTCGCTCAAACCTCCTTTTTGGAAGGGAAGATACTCTGAATCAAAGACTGGCAACAAAACAATTAACACAAGGTCACTGGGTCTCCAAGAAGTCCCAAACACACCTGCCGCTCCGTGTTGCTTCAGCCTCCGAAATCTCTCTTCCGAACCGATCTTCCGCATGGCGCCTTCCATTGGAAAGAGCCCCCCCCTTCAAAAAAAGAAGGCACCCGGCTACCCGGCTCGGTGCTCCAATCCCCCAACCACCCGCCCCACCCGGTCTCGTTCCGTCCCAACAGCTCCGCCGGTCCATCTCGACGTCCGAAGCACCCGAAGAAGCACCACCGACCGCAGCGGAAGCCGCCCGGGCTTCGTGTGGGTTCCGAAACGGGGAAGCACAGATGACGAACCAACGTAAACTGGGAGCTTCCAGATGTGACGAACTGCTGTCTGTGACACTGTGTCAAGTGCACTCTGTGACACTTTGAGGGAGAAAAAGCCTGGTGAACAGACTGCCCACGAGAAGTTGATTGGAGGATCTTCAGGCTATATACTTGGGGGCCCAATTGGGCAAGCTTGGAATGATTTCTGGTATGCCGTGGTTTCCTCTTCTTGGGCCACACAGCCAGCGAAGAGCAAGCGAGTTCGGCCCTGTTCGGCCTGCCCCTTTCGGGCTGGATCTGCTCCGCTCATGAACCAAAGGAGAGGGCCCCATGAGGATCGTTTTGGGCGGAACGTCGGAGGGGGGAAAGAACTGCGAACAACGCTTCTTCGGTCCAAATCTTGGGAAGAACAAGGACTGCCATGCTCGTGTTTGGATCGCCGCTACCCATGCTATCCACCAAATCCCTTGGCCCGCAGCACCGAAACACCAAAATTTTTCGTGTTATACCCTACCCACGAACCCACCTCCCTTTGTCCATCATGATAAAATCACAACAAGGCCCGGCCGGTTGGTTTTTCTATGCTTTTCTCGGTGTATCCTGCTCTTCTTTCTTCAAACCAAGCACCTCGGCGACACAGAACGGCACCTCAGCTCCCCATGGCCACGACATCGACAGTCGTTTTTTCACTCTCGCTCTGCCGCTTCGCGTCGCCAGGTGAGGAGTACCAGGCGTTGGAAAAGGACCACGACCTCAGCTGGGGCCCAGAGACCCGCAGGGACCTCAAGACCGTGAAACCCTAAACCATCCCAAACCCATAGGGTCGGACATCGTGCCACAGGACAAGAACAAGTAGACTCTACACTTTCTATACCCTCTGACTCTGTACATCGAAAATTGTGGATCGAACGTCGAACATGCATGAAAAATTCATCAAAATGCGATGATCCGAGCCCCGTGGTCCAAGTACGCATCCCCAAAAACACTTCAGGCGTGGTCTCCAGTCACCACAGATGGATTCGTCTCGAGTCTCGAGTCACTGATTTCTGGGCAGTTATAGATTTATAGATTGAAAGACCTTAAAAAGTGTAGGTCTTGGTGTTGTAGGAGCCACCCAAGACACGCTAAGGCCCCGAATCCACCTAGCCGGATGAAAAAACACACACTCGAGAAACTGCGTACTGACTCGACTGCGGTTTGCCACACGCCAGCCAAAGTAAAAAGCCTAAGGAAACCAGAGGAGTAAGTGACTCCAAAGTTCAACAGTGTGAAAATCCAGTTTGACAAGCAAGCTTCGAGGTAGCCCTTCAATGCACATCTGCCGACCTCTGAAACCTCACCAGCCTGAGCTCTAGAGTGGGATGTGATTACTCAACACCACAAATTTCAGCAGGTACACGGAGGTGATCAATCTCCGCTTCCCCCATCCTGGAACAGCTTCGTTGGCACAGGTATCCACGATGGGCCTGCGCCCCCTCCGTGGAAAACCAACGGATTCCCTGTGGTTCCAAGGGTTCCACACACACGCCTCCCACAATCCTGCCCAGAAAGGAGGCACCCCCATCCTGCCCGGAAAGGGGGTAATGCGAGCACATGTGTGCGCAAAAAGGACAAATGAACATGAAGGAGACGAGACGGACAAAGGAGTGATGTCGTTGCCGACGAAGGGAAAGCAAGTGAAGAGGGACAACCAATGAACCAAAGCTCATTGCAACAAACCTGGGGCACCTGAACCTAGTTTGGAGTGGAGCATACGCTCGTGTATGTGCACAAGCTAAGGGCCGGGCAAACGCGCGGGCAAGAGAAGCAAAGGATGAAGATGACGAAACATGCAGACAGAAGGACATGAAAGAAAAGAAGGAAAAGAGGTCGGCGGGGGCCAATGAAGAGGGAACCAAATGAAAGGGGCCGAAAGGGGACAAACCGATCCGATGAAAAGCCGAACCTCATTAAAACACCTGCTGTAAATGCCTGGTTTGCTTGTAAGGCACGCTGCGCACGAGGAAGGAGGGGAAGGGAAAGAAGAAAGGAAAGAGAAAAGGAAATGAAAAGAAAAGATTGTGTTCCCAGCTACGACGCAAGCGTCCAAGGACACACCAAGACAAGATGAGAGGGGTTCCCAGCTATGACGGAAGCATACAGGGACACCCAAGCAAGAAAAGGAGATGGAAAAGAAGGGAAAGAGAGAGAGAGAGAGAGACACAGAGAGAGACACAGAGACAGAGACAGAGAAAGAGACAGAGAAAGACAAAGCTAAAGACAAAGAGAAAGAGAAAGACAAAGAGAAAGAGAAAGAGAACGAGAAGGAGAAGGGGAATGAGGGGAAGGGGGACAGGTGTTCCAGCTAGGAAATAAGCGTCCAGGGACACCAGGGAGAGGGGTGTACCTGGGTGTTGCATCCAGGGACACCGCAAAGAGCAAAAAGAAGGAAGAGGGGAGAGGGAAGGGAATTAAGGCTCCAGCAGACCTCAATGGGCCTTGAGAGAACTTCGGCCGCTGCGGCCACGTATGCCGCACGCCGTGCCAAAGTGGCTGGCAGCCTTGACCGCTATGGTCACCTAATGGCCTGCTCGAAAGCTGCCGACTCAGATGCAATAGTTCATCAAGTCTTGGCAAATAACTTTGGCATAAGTCTCCTACGCTCGCTACGCGCTACTCCGCTTCCCAGCAATGGAAACATAGACAAGCCCCCGATCGACGGGGCCACAGGGGACACTCCTCGATTACATCCTGGGCTCTCACTAAGGAGAGACACACTCGAGAAATTCCATACTGACTCGATTGCGGTTTGCTACACGCCAGCCCAAGTAAAAAGCCTAAGGAAACCGGAGGAGTAAGTGACTCCAAAATTCAACAGCACTCAGTGTGAAAATCCAGTTTGACAAGCAAGCTTCGAGGGACGCATGCAGTAGCCCTTTAATACACATCTGCCGACCTCTGAAACCTCACCAGCCTGAACTCTAGAGTGGGATGTGATTACTCAACACCACAAATTTCAGCAGGTACACGGAGGTGATCAATCTCCACTTCCCCCATCGTGGAACAGCGTCGTTGGCACAGCTATCCACGATGGGCCTGTGCCCCCTGCCTGGAAAACCAACGGATTCCCTGTGATTCCAAGGGTTCCACAGACACACACACCAAGACCACACCGGCTGCGAAGATGCTCGCCGCCGGAGCACGTCTGACATGCCGCGCCGGGCGCCGAACGCTCCACCCGACCCAGGGCGTCCGTGCTTCGTCACCACTCGTTCGCGAGAGACGGCCTGCTCCAGTTCGCGTGCCAAGGTCTCGGCCTTGCGAACTGGATGGGATGTTTCCTCCGATTTCGAGGTTCAGGGCGAACGCCCAGTGCTGTGTGGATGGGCGGCTCCGGTCAGCCTGGTCTCGAGTCTGGACAGACAGATGCGACAAAAGCACAGTGGCGTCATGGCATGGTAAACGAAATGTCTTTTGTGGAAGACATCCCTTGGACCCATGTCTCAGAAACCATCCTCCCCACAGCGCCCTGAAGTCTTTCACTCACCCCGTGCCTCGAACAAATGCTCTGGGACCACGGCCACCTCGTCGCGGTCCGTGGCACATCGTGGCACACGTTTTCCCGTGGATGGTGACCGTGGTGTTCACGGGAGGTGTTTGGGAACGGCTCTGGGTGGATGCAGGAGGTGATGAACATGTTATTCACATGATGTATGTGTTGAAATAAATGCTTAACTGTGTGTTTCTCTGCTTGACCTGACAGTAGAAAAGAATCAGATAGAATAAGAACTGAACCAGGGATCACCAGACCAGGAAGATCGATCAGAAGTCCATATGGGTAGTTGGAGGGCAGGACAACGTGCAGAATGCGAGCTGGCCAAACGAAACTCGTGTAGGAGTTTTCCTCACAAACAGTGACAGTGACTGGAATATCCTCAGGACTCTGAGCTGGCGATGTTCCTCTTCAATGAAATTGGCTTGCCCAGTTGAAACGCAAAGTGGGCGCTACTTGGTAGCTTCAAACCAATGAATCAACACCCCAAAAAATTAAACAGAAAAAGCATCGCATCTGGGCGCCGCACGTAAACACGGTTGGTGTTCAGCCCGGTCTGGAGCCTGATCCAACGACCGGGACCATCGATGTGTTTCATCGATTGCAAACGACCAGAATTGCCTCCCAAGCCGCAGCTCAATCCCAAGCACCCATCAACACAGAGTCACGCCAGAAAGCTGGGCGAAACGATGGATGGCACCAGGCCATCCTGCGTCCCCCCCAGCACCACCTGAAAATGGATGAGCCTCAAGCGCTTGTGCAACTTGTAGCTGCTGACAGTTCGCCCTGCCTGGACAGAATTGGTTGCAACCGGCTTCCGGAACGCTTCTCCTGCTGGATACTGTGTACCTAAAAAAGAACTTGGGGCTGCATGACCGCACACACCTCCAGGTATCTCCATGTCTTTCCTTGACTAATCACCAGCAAGCAAGTAACTAAGGAAGTAGATTGCAATCAGAATGTATACGTGATCGCGAGGGGAATTGATGGACAAATGTCCACACTGCCTGACGAACATGTACAGTACAGTAATTCCATGCTCGCCATTGCCTAAACAGTCCCATGGTAAGGATGCGTAAGGCGCAAGCCAACCCAACCCCTGACCAACCCAAGGACCCAAGGCCCTGACCAAGTATCCGAAGGAGAAGGCTGAGACGACCCCAGGCACAATGAATGTAGCCTTGCTCTTCTGTGCATCGTGTTCCGAAAGAGGGGCAAACCAAGCAATTACATACATGATCATAGATGCAATTAGCAAAGAAGGAGTGCAGGGGCAAGTGTAAAGCATTTGAACGGCTGGATCCGAGTTGAAGTCTGGTGAGACAG